TGGAAACATTTCTGGAGAACATGCACCTCACCAATGATCAGGCTACCCTACGTACCACGGCTAACCATTGGCGCCGACACTATGACGTACCAATTCAATCATCCTCCTCCACTACGGCAACTACTGCTCCTGTTCTACCACACCCTGAACACTCCAACGTCTATGTCTCCCAACCGTACGAAGCGATACCGGACCAACTCCATATTTTACAGTCATGCTGGGGACGCTCTGCCCAACACCACTCTCAAGGAACCACCACCTCTTTATATTGGCCACCGTGGCGGTCTACACCACCTTCTTCACCACCGGCAACCTTTCAACGTACTTTACATCTCAATCGCCCTACCGTCCCTCCTCAACAAGTACATGGGCCACTGGATGCGAACGATATGGACCCGATGGATATGTCTGACTCTAGTGTGTAATACACCACATTATTTGTCGGCATCGAAAAAAGCACAGTGACTACGCGTCGATTTGTGACTCCTCACTAGGTATACCTTTTCCATCCGTGTTCCAATTTTTGGGCTTTATTCCTTGGTCATTGTCCTTCTATGTTGCAGCTTGGGCTTTTTGCTTTATACTCGAAACTCGACACCCGACGCCATGGCTCATTCTTCTCGACCCCATCCATATCGCGCTACATCCACGATTGAGACACCACTGGGTACCCGAACTACTGGATGGCTTGCTGGGCCCCGTGGCCTTCCTGGTCATGTGAACCCTCCTCCAAACCGACCTGTCCTGATTTTGATCGACTACTCTCCCTTACAGGAACTGACTCATCGCAGCGAACCTGACCGTGAACACTACATGGCTTTGGCTAGCTCAAATCTCAAAAATGTTAGTGGCTACGAATTTGAAGCTCTGTTCACCTGGTCACGTCAGATGCAACCCGTTGAAGCAGGCCTCCTTCCCACTGGAGAACTACGTTTCTGTATTTCAAAAAGATTGAGGACCCAATGGGACATCCAGCTTGATCCTTCGAATTTGGAGTTTCGCTATTGCGATCTGGAAGGTGACACATTTCAAGTCCCCAATGATATGACGATCTTGCAGCTTTTGGAGGAATACCGACCTGAATGGCGACTTCGACAGTATAACTACTTCGAATCCTCCTTGCTAGTCCCGGGTACCTCACAGCCTTTCGTACTACGTCTGGGATGTCACAAAGTTAGCCCAGGTGTGATCCTGCCCTGATACGCTCACTGGCCAAAAATGACCATGCTCGCGGGTTTTAGTTATACCTTTGACATTTTTTCAACTCGAAGGATTCTTTGATTTCAATCTTGTTACACTTTGGACTATGTCCTTTCTGTGCACCTTGAACCACTTGATTGATGACTGGACCTCACTTTTACCTTCAGTACTACTATTATTATTCTCGGTCTTGGCTTATGCTCGCATTTTCATGATACCTCAGCTTTTGTCGCACCATTTCACGCATTTCCGACCGTTTCACCCATGGAGCACAAACGAGACGCTACCGTGGCTGGCTTGGCTTGGCCTTCGAATCCCAACCGCGGACTCGCTCCCACCAACCCAGATCAAGTACCAGACTCCCAGGCTTCTGCACTATGTCATTCCGGTCTTCCTGAACCCACTACCGGGACCACTTCGGCATCTTTGGCAGCGGACCATACAACTACCGACATTGGAACTACGGCCCATTCTGATACATATTCAGGCTTTGTACCTCCTGATGTCCCTTTTCCGACGGAGCCAAGTCCGGCACACCACTACCTCCATCGTGCTCACTTCTCTTCCCGCGTGGTTCACCAGATCCAATTCAAGATCATTACCCACTCCAACAATACCAGGGAGCTATTTATTGAAGAGATCCCCTTGTCAGGGCTTTCCAGATGTCGTGATCCGGAACACTACTTTTACGGTCTTTCGGGCAACTGGGAGTGGTCCCTACGCACAGCGGATTATTGGCGACATCATTTTGAAATTCCTCTAGTACATGGACATCATCCTTTTCACAATGTTCCCATTGAGACTACGGCACCTACGGAGGCAACCCACTTTACTCCGACGATCCAGGATCTAGCCCAACAACTTTCAATCACTTTGAGGACTGCTATGGCATCTGGGGAAATCAACGACACGTGGAGGATGCTTGAGGACATGAGCTTCCGTGACGCCATCCAAACACTTCAAGCTGAGATGAGCCTCCCTTCTGAGTGACTGCACACAGCTCTGTACATTAGCGCCGGGCAGCTTTTTGTATTTGAACTATCATGCCGACATTTGCTGCGATGGTCTTCCAAAAATCTAACCCCGCTACACGCGGGGTGTGTGTGTGTAACATCTGAACAGATGTAAAACTTCTTTGATTTGAACCTTTTCACATTTGCAGGGAATCCTTTCATATTTGCAGGGGGGTGCAGAGCACAGTGGAGACTGCACCCAACGAAGCTATCCACTTGTGCTGGAAGCAGTCTGATCAACTCTGTGTACCTGCAAAATTTGGTTTCAACTGTTGATCAAGCTGTTACACTGCGTTGTTTCGAATCTACACGGTTGCCACAATCTGTATTGCATGCATCAGAACCTTCCTCAGATTTTCGCCGAAACCATATCGCCGACAATATTATGAATTTTTGACATATTTTCGCCGAGATCATGTCGCCGACGAACTTTGGGTATTTTTGGAAACAATCGCCGAAACAATATTTTGGATTTTCAACATGCTGGTCAAAACTCTTTGGACTCTGGTTTTAACTTCGTTTGACAATATTGGATGCCCTACATCGTTTTCGAGAAGTACCTCATATGGCTCCTTTATTAATCTAACGATCTAGGCTGGTTTGCATGTTTTCAGGATTCAGTTCCTGCCGGATCATATAATGATCCATTCTTGTCTAGTGTGTGTGACACATCTGTACAGATGTAAAACTTCTATTACTTTTTGTATTTATATATATATATATGCGGGGGGTCACCGGGGTCCCTGGGAGGTCGGTGACCAACGAAGACACCTCCCGGGGACCCGTGTAAATGTACCCGCGGGACTGTGGTGACGCACCTGGGCGCATTTAAGACGCAGCTGGTGGTCACCATAGTCCCATATATATATATAAATATTCATCCGTATCTAACTAATCTAGTTGCATGTTACAGGACTCAGTTCCTGACGGATCACTACAATGATCCATTCTTATCTAGTGTGATTCCTATGGTGACTCCGACATGGTGCCATAGGGCCAAGTGAGGCAACCCTGTTTGGGGTGAGTGTCGACTGACTTGAATACCGAATTCACACATTTTAATCTGGTAATTCGTCTAAGTAAAGTGCAACAGTTGGCCTTACCGTTGTGCACCTTTTCACAAAGTCTCGCCGATCCGGCTGTCCCAGGGTTCCTCGCCAAATTGCCTTTCTATCAGAGTGAAAGCGGTCGAAACCATCCGAAACCTCGTTTTCTCTGCAGCGTCAGCTTTTGCGGTGAAACATGACCATGAGAAAGGTTGCAGGCAGGCACACGCTTTCCAGGTTTGGTGACTCTTTCTTTTGATGGTTGTCTGGTGAGGTCAAACATATTGTGCACCTAATTCGTTGGAACTTGAAAGCCGTTTATGCCAATTGGGGCAAGACTTGACCACGGTCCCGGCAAGGGAATAACGCACGACTCTTAGGTATTTAGGAACTGAGTCTTGTTTTTCTTTTTTTGTGTTTTCACCAGCTAATCCCCATTGGTCCCCTATCTCATGCGTTCTTCCCTCCCCAGGTAGGTTGGCTCCGTCGCGTGCTTAGGTGTGTGTAGGTTCTCGCTGTGTCAGGTTGGTTCAGGCGCTTTCGTCCTTCCCCCCCCTCCGCTGGTCTTGTTCCGTGTCCGTCGACCCTCCGCTTTTCTTTTCCCTTGCCTTTCCAGGGTTTGCCCGCTCCGGGCCAGGTGTGTCGTGTTGGTGTTCTCTCCTTCTTCTTTTGCGTTCCCCTCTTCGCGTCCTGGTCAAGTAATTTTCCATCTCATCTTCAAGGTCACCTCACCTTCACTTCCCCCTCATCTTCATCTTCACCTCATTTTCCGTCGCACTACCCTGCCAAAGGCAGGGTGTGTGTGTGACACATCTGTACAGATGTAAAACTTCTATTACTTTTTGTATTTATATATATATATGCGGCGGGTCACCGGGGTCCCTGGGAGGTCGGTGACCAACGAAGACACCTCCCGGGGACCCGTGTAAATGTACCCGCGGGACTGTGGTGACGCACCTGGGCGCATTTAAGACGCAGCTGGTGGTCACCATAGTCCCATATATATATATAAATATTCATCCGTATCTAACTAATCTAGTTGCATGTTACATGACTCAGTTCCTGACGGATCACTACAATCTGGGTTCGTGTTTCGACTGGCCCGAAAAATTTTAAGGATATGCTGGCGTTTTGATTGATTTTGTGCAAAACATGTCCGTTGGCGTCTGCAGGAGCTTGTTTGTCACAGCCGCGCATTGGCTTGTCCAGCGCTTCTATTAGGGCAGCGCCTTCTGCCCATACAAGGCTGCAAAAAAAGAACTGGACCATGGACCATGGACGAAGAACCATGGACGAACCGTTTTGGCCCCTGTTTTTTCTCGCCAGCTATGTCAGCAGCTGCAAATCGTAGACCCGCTTCTGCCTCCGCAGCACCAACCATGCAAGAGGCAGGAGGTCGATTCTAATTGATTTAGTGGCATTTACGTGTTGCGTTGAAAATCAGAAAACTGAACGATTCCGGAACGATGCAAAATTCAGCGCCGCAAGATTCTTTTTGCACAAAGCTGCTTGGATGAACTCCCAATGTCCGCAGGCCCTAACTAAGTTAAGGATTATTACTTTCCTGCCACTTGGCCATCGTTGGCAACCCACAATGTAGCCGTGAGTGATCATGAAGAGCATGGACCATGGACCTTAAACCATGAACCTGATGGCAATGGCAGGACAATAATAGTTACTCCCCTCCCCTGCCAGCTTTCATGTGCAGGAAGCTGGTTCGCAGAAAGAAAACTTTCAACTCTCACTTGCTACGCTTTGAGGCAGCTTCATCCATCTTCTTGCCCTCGGTTCCGGACTGCAGGCAGCTAGGATCACAGCATGCCACATGCCAGAGGCAGCAAGGCGAGCACGAAAATACTTGCTACTACTACTACTATCTGGCCTTTGGCGATGATGATAAGGAGAAGCGCTCATCTCTGGCCAATTTTTGCACCAATCAGCAACGGTCTGCCTGGAAAACGTGTGCCTTCCATCCTTTGCATGCATGAGAACTTTTCCCGTACTGATCTCAAAGATAACACAGCCAAAACTCCATACATCAACTGCCTTGGTCAAAGCTGCTTCCAAGGCATGCGAATCAGCACCCACATGCCAAAGCTCTGGTGGTCGATACTGAGCTGTGACATATTCGCAAAATCGTGGCGGAGCTTGAGCATGAGCTTGGGCCGTTGCTTTTGGCAAAGCCTGTAAAGGATCAACCAACTGCTGGAGCTGGCGTTTAGCTTTTGCAGGTTGGATGGTGGACCCTGGACCTTGGACCGTGGGCTTTGGACCTTGGGCAATGGATGCTCTCACAGGCTCTGACATGCCAAAGTCGCACAGCTTGAGCTCCTTTAGCTCAGAGCACCAAAGGATGTTGGCAGGCTTGATGTCCAGGTGCAAGAGTCGCGCCTGGCAATGCAAAGTCTGGATTGCCGCCTGCAGCTGCAGCACCGCGGGTTGAATCAGTTCCGAGGTCATCGCGCCATTGGCACCCAACCAGCTTGCTAGACTCACCCCTGCACAGGCCAGTGACAGCCAAGGCCATGGCTGCCCATCTGCGTCAAACTCCAACATTTGAGGAAACCAGTTGCGATGGGATGGCTGCAGCTTGTCTAAATTCATGTAGATGGTGGCTTCGTAGGCGGCCTCACTCTTCGCACCCCGGCTTCGATACACCTTGATGGCGCACGACCGGCCCAGGCTGGTGCAAGCTGAAAACACTTTGCCATAGGATCCGCTGCCCAACAAAGGAATACCCTCCTTGTCTGTCACTGTGTATGGCCCAACAGTAAACTTCTTGACATTCTTGACTTCTTCCTCAAGGGTCTGCAAAGGCAGACCAGGAGGACTGCAGGTAGCTTTGCCTGCCTGTGGCCTAGGATCAAGACCTAGACGCATCAGCGCAGCCCTCTGTGCTTGGAATTCCTGGGCGCTCTTCTCATTGTAAGTAGCCTTTGTGGCTTCAGGGAGCCTTTTCCATAGCTTGGCCACCCTTTTCATGTCTTCAATGTGTTCCTTTTTCAAAGCACCCTTTTTGACCCGTGTATTCTCAATGAGGAACAAGGCAAATGCTTTTCTTGCCTTTGGCACCAGGTGCTGCTTGATTGCCAAGGCGCGCATGGTGGGTGAATGCCGGGTCTTGCCAGCAGGCCTTGGAGCAGCTTCTTGAGCTATCGCAGTTTTGCATCGGAGTCGAAGTCTTGGCTTTGCTGCAGGCAAGGACGATTTACACATGGCATCAAGGGGGCTGCGTGTGTTGTGCCTCCTGTGGACCTTGGACCTTGGACCTTGAGAAGGCCCAATCAAGCAGCAACAAGAAACAGCTGTCACAATAACAAATTTCAAAACATCCTGGAAAGCAGCTACCTGCAAAACACCTTTGAATACTTGCAAACGACCCTTGAACTCTGCGTTTTTGCAATTTTGGACTTTGAAAGGTCAGTTGCTCTCACAGAAAGGTGCCAAACCTCGCACTTAGTGAAATTGTGTCTGGACAAACACCTTCTTGGACTGCTACAAAGCACTGCTATAAAATACTTAGCAGCATCTTTTTGGAATCGCATGCTGCCTTGAAGATTCTCTGCAAAGCCCCGCTTGGGTCATTTATTTTCCCGGTCGGGCAAAATTTGGCCAACAGCCATGAAGTGAGCACAGGTGATTGCAATGCCAAGGCATGCTCTCAAAAAAAGGCACTAAATAAAGCAGGCTTGTGTATGAACCATGAAGACCATGGACCTTGGACCTTCGACTTTGAACTAGCACCTGCTTGGCCCAATCTCCTTGGAGTGGCTCACTCATTGGGGCTTTCTGGCTCTAAGAGATCAATGTCCTCTTCCTCCTTCGCCTTTGCGAGGCCAGCCAGGACGTCTGGAAAAAATTTCTTCACTGCTGTAGCATTCTCCTCTGAAAACAGCGAACTACCTTCCAAGGCAATGAGCCCGCAGGCAGCGCGGTCAGCAATGGTCTGAAGCCACTGGAGATGTTCTTTGTTGTGACCTTGGCTTTTGCAGGCACCAGGCAAACAGAAGCATGCAACAATGCGGTTGCTGGAGTTGGGGCAGTAGAGCATGCCAAACATTCTGATATGATCGAAGTTTCAATCTGAGTGTTTTGGTGTTGGGATAAACTCAGTTCAACACAAAGGCCGTGGTACAAAATACCGCGTGTGAGAGCTGCTTCCATGAGAGCACCGCTTCCAGGGCTGCAATCAAGAACGGCTTGCACTTTCCACTCATCTAAGATCGCGCACCATAAGGCGATCGGCTTCGACTCACCCCAAAACAAAGGGCAATCTTCTCCATTGCGCTCAACCCAATCCTCTGGAGCCCTGGGAAGAGACAACACACTGTTGGGGTCCATGACCTTCGACTTCTCCCCCAAAGAAATCAATGGAATCTCCAGGGAGGCCCTGAATGCCACGCCTGTGTAGGTGCCTTGGTATGTGCTCTCTTCCCCGCAAGCTGTGAATGTCTCTTTTTTCGTTGCTTTGATACGCGTTCTCTGCACAGGGCATCTGATGGCCACAGTTTCCACCTTGCGGCCAGACAGAGGCACCCTGCGGCTCCTTCCGGCCCTGGGCGGGCATCCTCCTGTGTAGACAATGGTCGCCTCGCAGGCATGGGCCTGGCTGAGCACATCATCTTCCTCAATGCTGCGCCAGCAGAAAGTTAAGAAAAGCATGCTGATCAGCACCGACATGTCTGCGGCAAGTATATAAGCAAACAATGATGATCAATAATTGTAATGTTCAGCTGCATTCTCATATCAAATCTAAGCCGGAGAAGAAGCCTACCGGAATCAAATCTGGTCAAGTCAAGTAGCATTTAGTCGTCGGACCTCACGCATGCGGCCATCAAAGGCCATCACAAAATCAGCTGCTCCAGTAGCGCTGCTGGTCATGAAGGCAAGGACTTCTTTCCACAGCGGTGCTGGAGGGACGGAGGGCGCCACCCAAGGTTCATCACCTTGCTCGGTCATGAGGTCGGCCGATGCGCACAGAAGTCTGTGACTGGTGTTGAGTTGGCCAGCAAACGAGAATACTTTTCCGCAAGCGCGGAAAGACGACAGAAGAGATTCTTTTGTCCAACTCTTAGGCAAGCCAAAACTCACAAATTTTCGCCTCTCTGACTGTACAATTTTCCAATGCCTTTCCCGTTCTGCATCTGCCTCTGCATTGACCTGGCCTGTGGAAGTCAACTGCGTCAGCAAGCTTGGGGTCGGAGCCGCAGTGCTTGCCGTCACAGACTTGGATTGGCTACCACCAACAAGCTCCGTAACTAGGCGCAGCTGCTTCAGAAACTCAAGATCTTGCTCTGTATCTTGCAATGCTTTGATCAATCCTCCTGCTTGGCTGGCAAGTTCTTGGCAATCGGAGTATATAATGCTTACCTGAAACAAGCTCCAAGACAAGGTCGAACAGCTGACCGGTGGCCTTGTTGAAGATCTCCTTGATGGCAGCCAAAGGCCCTGATGGAACCACTACGGCACAGGCACCTTCCTCTTCCAGATCGTCTTCATGCAAGAACCCAGTATCAGCCAAGGCTTTCTCATCTGGCTGCAGGAATTTCTCCCAACAACGTAGCGGTGATAGCAAATCTTCCAGCACAGCTTTTGCCTTCTGAAGCTCTGGCTCGGGGAGTTTGGAAAGCAACTTCTCTGCATACTCAAATACCTGGCATGGCAACACTACGGCCCAACTATGTTGAGATACAAACTGTTACCAAAAAAGTTTAAATTTAGCATTAAAAAATGCAATGCGCCAAAGCCTGCAAAGTATTTTTGTTAAGCTTTTTGTCAACCAAAGGGCTTGGAGAATCACCGCGCAAACTTGCCAATAGCCGGGCATTCCGGTCTTCCGATCCTTGTCCAGCCATCCTTCGGTGGCTTTGCTGGGAAGCCGCAACTTCGTTTTGAAGGCCAAGAGCAACATGTCGACCATCCAAGCCATGATTTCACCGTTGGACCGTGGACCTTGGACCATGAGGGTGACACAGACCTGGCATAGGCTATGAGCTTTGAAAGCTTGGAGTACTCGCTGCTGAGAATGTCCCGGCCATACTGCAACTCAAGCCTGGACAAAGATTGCTCCACATGGCGATCTGAATCTTCCAGAACAGCTGCCATAGAAAGTGCAGCTTTGTGAATCGCCGCATTGTACACAGTTCCATTGTATGCCAAGCCCATAGCCACCCCATCTTGAACCTTGTCAATGGCAAGGACCCTGACCAATCCAGCAAATGTGAGAAAGCTGTCGCTGAGAGAAGCATGCCCCAATGCCTTGACGGCTTCTGACTGAAAGTTTCTTGCCAAGCTCTTGTCCAGGAAATCAGCCTTGGCAGCTGCCCGACTACTCTTCTTCCAATTGGCTCTCGGTCCTCTCTCTGCCAGCATGCCCCTCAGGATCAGAAATCCAAAGAGACCGGACTGAGAGAAGAGGCATGCGCACATGTAAGAACAATGCTAGCTGCAGCATTACAAGGTATGGTGAATTATTTGACTTATATGCCAATCCCTGTTGAGCTTGGCTCACAACATCGAATCATATGCTGCTGAACTTGGTCACAACACCATATGCCACAAATCTATGCAGCAAGCAGTACAGCAGTTGCAGCCAATGCGCTTGACTGCCGCGGCAGCTGGTAATGCTCTTGGCCCTGGCTGATGGATTGAAGGCCTTGGAAATGCAGATTCAGCACCATTGACTGTGACCCTTGGATGCAAGAACTTAAGGCTTGATTGCAATGATGATGGAGCATCTCCTACCCTTCAATGTTGAAACTATACCCTTCAATACTAAAAAAATCATGAGCTGATACGCTGGATTGTCCTGACATCTTTGGATGCAAGTTCTGATCCTTGGAACGCATTTGTTTTTGGTTTGCACGAACCAGGAGTGTATTGTAACAGCTTGTAGTTAGTATTGCAGTATATTGTAGAGGACACAATCCCTTGCAATACACTCTCGGTTTGCACGAACCGGAGGTGTATTGGCTGAAGGTCTAAGTCAAGGAATGTCTAAAAGCTGAGAGGCATGAATTGGCATCCTTTTTTTCACCCTCAATAGACCCTCGGTTTGCGCAAACCAGGAGTGTATTCCTGGGGTCTGGAAAAGTGGAGCCCCTTTGTATTTTCAAGAGCTGGTGCCAAGGACCTTTGACCCTGGACCATAGACAAGCATTGGCAACCAGTTTGCTTGCTATCTTTGGCTAGCTTTACTGATTAACTGCTTTGCCCCAAAAGAGTCGGTCCCCAAAGACCGCGGCTGCAGCAACCTGCGGATGGTTCGCAAGAACCGCCACACATCTTCCCATTGGCGCAGTGTGAAGATCTGTTGTCTTTTGCAGCAGGCCCTGCTCGGAAGCTCACCTAATGCCACTCGCCACTTGGACTTATCTCTTTTCTCACAAGCTTTCAGGGCTTCACAGAAGGATCGCTTCCTCAGCAGAATAACAGGTATTGACTGTCTCAGGTCTTAAAATATTAAACCCTAGGGCCTAGGTCAACCTACAAAAACAATAACCCGAGTAAGAAGACAGACAGCAACGACGACGATAGCGACCAGGACGGCAACAACGGCAATTGGTCTTCTTGTCTGGGAACCCATCTGCCTTTGCCTGCGAGTCAGGAAGTTTGGTGTGCAAATGCAAAGCCTTGCAAGCTTGTCCTAGAAATGCAATAAGCCGGTTATATTTTATTGAACGTTGCTACCAACTGTGAACATAGTGCTCCCTCCAACCAAACTGCAACTCGACTCGACAAATCTAAGTTATATTGGACTTCCCAAAGCCAAGCCTTCAGCCACCTCTCCCTGCGAGCCAACTGGAATTGAACAACAGCAGAGTGGCTGTCTGGAAGCATTCTGCTCTGCAGTGGCACAGTGGACCGTGGACCAGTGGACCGTGGACCTTGGACCATGCAGCTGGACCTTACAGAGCTCCAAGAACTTGCCAAAATCTCCTGCAATTGCGTCGGGCTGACAGTTGCAACATCAGCCCTCACTCCAAAGAAGTAGACTCTTGGCCTTTGAAGAGGCTCTCCCAAGTCACCAGGATCCATCTTCAAGGTGGCTACATGGTAAAGCCCTTTGCCTTGCAATGCCTTGACCACCTGTGCCTGCACACGTCGGATGCCCTGGACATTCTCAAGGACAAAGCATGCTGGTCTCACTGCCATGATGCGGCTCACCACAGCCCAGAAAATCTTCGCCTGAGGCTCCCCCAACAATTTGCTTCCATTATGCAAGGTGCTAAATGGTTTGCAGCTGAATCCACTGACGTACAAATGGACATACCCAGGCATCTGCACTTTGGCATCCAAGACGTCCTCAAAAACGTGGCCCGTTGGAGGGGTGTTTGCCAGAAGGACTTTGCGTGGTCCTTTGGCTACCTCAGAAGACCAGCAGTGCTCATGGGAAATGCCCAACCCATGTAGTGCATGAATTGGAGCCTCAATCCCACTGCAATCGGTGCCCACAAGCAAAGTTGAAGGAAAGGCAGTGGCAGGGCCATATTGCCCAAGTGCTGCAGTGACCTTCTGCTTCATGCGTGGGCCCCAATCATCTAGCCATTCCAGCAAACCTCCAGGCAAAGTATCAAAATCCATGGCAGTGGTTTCCTGAACAGTGGACCCTGGACCCTGGACCGTGGACCGTGGCTTGTGCCAAAAAACTACATCAGTACAAAAACAGTGACAGATGGACTGTTGAATGTACAGGCGCTGAAGGTATCATTCTCCATGGCTGTTGTAAAACTGAAGAGTCCAGGTGATGTAAAACTGCTCTGCGCGCCTAGGATTGCAATCAAACAAGAACCCTAAAAGTCAACCAAAATACCCTTCGAAGCTTCAAAGTGATGTTTTTGAGAATTCAAGGGTGGAAATGTAGCCCACAAGCCTATACGCCAAGAAATTCTGCCAAAGAGCTTCGAAAAGAACACTTGATGACGGATGAGTGGCCTCTGATTGCTTGAAGCACTGCCTTTCTGCACCTGCCCATGCAACACCAATAGCTCAGCTGCGAAGACAAGCACTTGAAACAAAACAAGCGCACAGAGTCACTTGCCATTGATTGGTGACATGGCAACGCTGTGTGCCTGGAGCAGGGGTAAAGTGCCCCCTTGCCAGCAACTGCCTGGCAGGAATGCGGATCAGCTTTAAAGAACATACTTTACTGCAACCAAAAAAGGCAACCAAAATAATTGGGACACATATGATTCAAAAAACCCTATTCTACAGCTCCCTTGCCTGCAGCCACCGAAGCTCTGAACTTGAAGATCGCTTGGGACTGGGACCTCCACATGCAACAACGCTGGCCAGCACTTCTCAATCAGGCTGCACAATAAAGCAAATTTGGAAAAGCATGCGTTAATCATTGATCAGTGGCTGGGAATGCATATTGGCATGCTGTGCTTTGCACCTCGTCGAAGCAGGAGAACGCACTGCCCAGCCTGAGCGTGCAAAAGCTGCCATGGTGATTCAATCTACGTAAAGCTTGGAGACCAGCTAAATTCAAACTATAGAATCAGGATCACAGCGGACAACGGCGGACAACTATCCATCGCAAAATGTGTGCCGGCGGTGGAAGAGGCATCGCTGATTTCGGATGCTGTGCACCACAAGGTGCTTGAAATCTACTGCAGGTCAGGCTCTCTGGCATTCTCTTCCAAAACTGTTTTCAAATGACAGTGGACTGTGGACTATGGACTATGGACCATGGACCTTGAGCCCGAGCATGCTAGTGGCAGCACTCAGTTCCACTGCATCCAGGGGTCAGGCTGGGCAGCAGGCTGCGGCTGCGGCTGCGGCTGTGCACCTTGATCTGGAGCAGGTTGTGGGCCTGGAGCAGGTTGTGGGCCAGGAGCAGGCTGTGCACCGGGAGCAGGCTGTGCACCGGGAGCAGGCTGCGCGTCGGGAGCAGGCTGCGCACCAGGAGCAAAATCTTGAGCAGGACCAGGGCCAGCTTGGAAGCCGCCACCATTGCCAGCAGCCTGCGCAGGACCGCCTCCCCCCACCACCGTAGTAGCCTCCCCAACCACCTGTGCCTGCATATGTTCGGGGCCGGTCGCGGCGAGGGCGCTCGTCTTCTTCAGGAAACTGCCCACGGCCAGTGTGCAGCGCCATGTTAACTCCAGGCCCCCATTTGCAGCAGCGTGCCAGATGCAACTCAAATGGCTTCCACTGCGAGTCCTGGATCCTCTCGAATGCCATCAGCAGCGGCACCTTTTTGAAGCACAGAGCTTGGACCTGACTGCTGCAAGGGCAAGAAATGGGAAAGCATTGATGATGAAAAATGCCAAGCCGAAACGAAAAGGAACCAAGAACTCAAATTAATGGTATAAATGTTATGTTGGACATGAACCAATCCGACATCGCCTCATTGAAGTCCCGTTTCACCACGTCAGCCTGATTTTGTGAAACATTCAAAAATGAAAAACTGTTTGAATTCCACCCAAAAGCCACACACAATCAAACACATCAAGGAGTACCAAGGAGCTTTTGCGAGCAGAGTCGGTGTCACAAACGCACGATGGCTCACGTCAGCTTGCTGCAATCTCAGGACGTAGAAGTATCCGTCGCTGGTTGCCCAGAGACTGCGTGTCCATGGAGGTTGTTCGCCAGGCAGCGCATGGGTAAATTGACGGATCCCGGGCGGAAGAGTTCGGGTGATGTAAAACTGCTCTGTGCGCCTAGGATTGGAAACAAGCAATACCCTTAAAGTAAACCAAAATACCCTTCCAAGCTTCAAAGTTAGGTTTTTGAGCATTCAAGGGTGGAAATGTAGCCCTGAAGCCTATAAATGAAGAAATTTTGCCAAAGAGCTTCAGCGTGGCGTGATTTACGCCCAGCTTGATACCGCAGTCGTTCAACAAATTGACCAGCTCAGGGGTAAAGCGCTCTGTGAAGAAGCACTTCTCGAGCAAGGACGCGTTCCTGCCAGAGTCAACCAACGTTTTCCCAATGCAAAACCTGGAAATGTTGTTGTGT